ACTGCTGACAAAGCCAAATGCTGAAATAGGTCTATTTCTGTCTCTCTGACTCCTGCAGAGTCTATAATACTTTTGGAAGTTATTACAGTGAGCTGCGAGGACAGTCCTTTTGCTGCTCAGGATGTCTGCCAGTCTGCAGCTGACCTCCTTTTTTTTTTTTTTTTTTTTAAACTCTCAGTTCAGTTTCTGTCCGGTTCTTGTGGAGAAGTTATAAAGTTGGGTTGATACAGAGACTTCAAGCAAGTACCCACTGACACAATGGAGCTCAAAGCAAACCAAGCAGTGGGGAACTGACTTCAAGTTCACTCTTGACATCCAACCATTCATTTTATATCCCAATTTAAACATATTCAAATTACAACTTATACCATGATGATGTCATGAGCTACCGTGACCAGGTTCTTGGTGGGCCCACTGGGATGATAACAGGGAAACTCATATGGAAGTGCTTTAAATGCTAAATAAATAAAGAAATGGCTGCCTTATTGCCACTAAGGGTTGCTATGTGGGATATATTAACCCCAGATACATACCCACATACATCTCTTTGACTGTCTTCTCCTGTCGTGGTTTTGGAAGCTGCTCCATTCTTCCGTCGTTGCTTCTATGAGACAGCAGTCAATATTTATATGACCAATACAATCTAGTAGACATTTTATTATTTCATGCATGAAAGAGTTGGGGTATAATATCTAATTGCTAGTTTTCTGGACATACATCGAGGTTTAATTTTGAAATCGAGCAGTTCAGTATTCACCGTGTAATAGATTTAAGGCATAACCCCGTGAGGTATCATCAAAGCGTGGCTCGCACAAAGAGGATGGCATGAATTTATAAAAGCGTTGACATAACATTTTAAACCCTGGGTCAGGCGGGCTGCGTAACGTGCATTTTAAAACTGGTGCATTTGCAAGTTGCTTCAAATCCTGACTTGAACTCAATCAAATGTTTGGAACTAATATGGACAAACATTGTTAGAGCTCCAAGTGTGTGACAAACATGGAGGTTTCCTGCCAGCTCCTATTCATGGCTCAACCATGTGGGGTTGCCATGCAACAGATGAGTCTAATAAGATAAGATAAGATAAGATAAAGAGACTTTATTGTCATTGTGCAGAAGTACAACGAAACTTGTGTGGAAGAACACGACAATAGCAGCAGTGCAAATAAGAATAAAAATAAGAATACTAGAAATAAAAATAATTTAAACAAAGTACTATATACACAAAGCATTATATAATGGGTTGACAGGTGAATACTAGGGGTTGAGATAATGGAAAAGAGAAATTTTGCGACACAGAAATAACTATTACTGTGCAGTTTTATGTCCTTGGGCCGCTAACGAACAAATGGAACACACAAGAAAAGGAAAATTTAAATGCCCATTTGTCGTCGGGTCAGAGGTAGATGCAGCTTCCGATTGGGGGTTCAGAATAAAAAGACCCTAAAATCCTTCCTCGGCAAGTTTTATCATCTGCCAAACAACAGCTTTGGGTTTATTGATGCAAATGTACACCCCCCTGGCAAAAGTTATTTCCTCGCCGACCTCGCGTCGTTGATGTCTTTTTGACAAACGGTGAAACTCTGCATCGCCTTCCTCTGAAGCGCCGTTCTTTCAGCAGCAGCTGGCTCAAGACACTCAGAAGCCTCTCAATAATCTTCATGGGATGACTTTTAATTTCCTGCCAGTAATCAATTTCGTCAGGTGTCGCAGGTTTCAAAGAGCGAAAACTTCGCCGCAGGATCACAGCGCACGTATGGATCGTCGTCTCGGGCCGGTGATTAAAAAGCATGTCCTGAACCCCTCGGGGTGATTTTTCATTAAAACTACCTGGGGTTCAGAATCTCAGTCCCGCAGTGTGTCTGAGTGTGGGTGAGTGACCGCAAAAAAAAAAGGCTGAGTGTGGATAATAGAAGGTGTATACTTTTTGTGTGACGGTGTGTGTGTGTGGTGTCCACAGTGTGTTTCCTCTACCAGCTGAAGTAGTGTACCGGGGTGTGTACATACCATCAGTGTGAGTGTGTGACCTCTCCGCCAGACGAGATGATGAGCTTATTATGGAAGGGCACGAAACAGAGATTAAAGAGCAGATGAGGAAAGGCAGACGGATGGAGGAAGAAGAAGAAGAAGAGAAAGAAACGGCGGACAAAAGAGAAAGAGGGAGATGTTTAGAGAGGGTCGGGTGAGATGGAGGAGAACAGGAGGAAGTTCAAGGAGAAAGGTGGAGTAGGAGGGATGTATAAATGGAGAGGAGGAGGATCAAAACAGACAGAGGCTGTGTTTAACCGCCCACCACACACTCCAGACCAACACAGTTTGTATGCAGATTGAAACAGTTCAGGTGTCTACATTTGCTGCCAGCTTCCAGTTCTGGAAAGTGGAAGGTAGATAATAGTGTTGCTAATGTGTAGCTTAGCCGTTAGCTTTAAACAATCTAAGCAAAGTTTAAAATGTGGATTTTTGTTGGTTTTTCCCAAAAGCTGAACATTCAGCTGATGATTGGAAGGAACCAGATTTGTTGTGTTTCACTGCGACAGTAGGATGAGTTTAAGCTGATTCTCCTGTTTTTTTCGGGTTTGGAAGCACAACAGTGTTCTTACTTTAATCAAACTGAGTGAATGATGGTATTTTTATTTTCTATTTTGTTGCCCACGCTGGTTTGGTCATATTGGGAGCATTTTCACAGATTCAGTAGCTATATGTTTATTGTCTATATCTATATTCTACTCTTTTTTTCTGCTATTTTTCTATTTTTCTACTTTTTTTCTTTGTTCATTTTGCAGAAGATTGCGATTTCAGTTCTCTGTACGTTGTACATGTGGCAAAACTGACAATAAAGCTGACTTGACTTGATTTGAACAACATGCATTAAGAATTAGTTTTGCATCCGTTTTTTACAAATTCAGATGAAATTATGTTCAACCAACAAACTGTTGAGTTTGGGGTGATAGTTTTCCTCTGCAATCAGTGTTGTTTTAAACAAGCAATCATCTAATACTGGGTAAACACAAGTCTTTATGTTTGAAGGACTTGCAGTTTTAAATTAATTTACTGCAACTTGAACTTAGTTATTAAATACATAATGCAAAAATTGCACACAATATTCAGTTGGTGTACAATCTTTTCAACTTTTTTAAGTCCATCCATCCATCATCTATACACAGCTTGATCCTCACTAGGGTCATGGGGGGCTGGATTCTATCCCAGCTGACTCAGGGTGAAGGCAGGTTCACCTGGACAGGTAACCAGTCTATCACAGGGCTACACTTAGAGACAGACAACCAAGCACACTCACATTCACACCTACGGACAATTTACAATCACCAATTAACCTCAGCATGTTTCTGAGAACATGCAAACTCCACTCAGAAAGATCCTGGGTGTCCTCTCCAGGACGCGAACCGGCCACCTTGTTGCTGCGAGGCAACAGAGCTATCCACCGCTCCACCTTGCAGCCTGTTTTTATAAGTCTATAAATGTAAATATTCATCTTGCAACCATGCATTTAATTAAGTAGTGGTAACAGTCAGGGGACTCGGGTCAGAATTCCTCTGATGGCAAAAGTCTTTAGTCATGTCGAGCAGCAGATGAGATGGATCGGTTTGATCCGTGTTGCAGATTTTTTTTTCCTCTGATTCAGTCTGATACCTGGGCGTTTTGGCATACTGCTTAAAACTACATACTAGGGCCCCGCTATAGCTCACCGGGTTAAGCGGGTGACCCATGAACAGGGGCTGTAGTTCCCCGATGCAGCGGTTGTGAGTTCAAATCCCGCTCACGACCCTTTGCTGCAGGTCTGTCCCCATTCTTCTCCCCCCTTTCCTGTCCCTCTACACTGCTCTAAATAAAGGCAAAAGCCAAAAAAATATATTAAAAAAAAAAAAAACTACATACTAGAATTTGGCCAAATCAGTATGCAGTCAGACGGTGTTGGTCGGCGGTTCATGGGGCAAAAGTTCATATCCACCCAATGCTGCGTGGGCGGAGCGACAGCACGACCTTTCCTCTCCTTGCAGAGAAATGACAACAATCATCATTTTGGTGCAGTGATACAAGGCTTCATAGCATCCAGCTGTGCCCCACGAGGGGAGCTACACCTCTTGTGTCCGGGTGAGGCCGAGAACCTTTTGAAGTACCCTCGTAAGATGAAACAGAAGACCGAAGGGGACAGATAAACAACAACAACAAAAAAAAAGAGGGACTAGAGGGAAGAGATAAGATGGAACAAAGGAAGAGGCAGGAAGACGTGGATTGATTGAAGAAGTTAGCTGACAAACCGTGAGAGAGAGAGAGATAATGAAGCAAAGAACTGCAGAGAGACAAAAAAAAAAAAACCACGCTGAGGATTTTTTATTTTTTTGGTCCCCCACCCCTTTTGGGAAAAGATAGGCAAAGCACCAGCTGAGAGTTTTGAACGCTGGATGTGGGGGTGGAGAGGCAGGACTGGGGTGTATGGAGAGGGAGAGAGAGAGCAAGGAAGGAGGGGGAGAGTAAATGTGCAGCCTCTCCCTTTCTCCCTCTCCTCTCTTTTCCCTCAGTGTCTCACTTCTCTCGTCGTTTCGTTCATCAGATTTCCGTGGAGCTGAAAGAGCCGGGGAAGCACAGGGAGAGAGGGGGAAAGAGGAAGAAGAAGAAGAAGAGGAGACAGAGGATGGCCAAGGTGTTTGTGAAACTAAACCTGAGCAATTAAGTGGTGCACTGGAAAGGAGAGAGAAATCAATTGGAGGCAAAGGAGAGCAGGACCGTGGAAAAGGAAGAGGGAGGAAGGAGGTGGTGGTGGTGGTGGAAGAGGGGGAATTTTTTTGGAGGGGGGGGCAAAGCAAAAAAGGAGCGATTGTGTAGGAAAAAGAGGCAAGAAACGAGCAGGGAGAGGCGTGAAAGTTATTCCTGAATAAACAGTTGGAGAAGAAAAAAAAGGAGTGAAGCCGAGAAAAAATAAAAGCAAGAGACAAAGGTTCCAAGAGCACATCTATCTACAGCTGACAGGTGATTTTTCCAGGATGGACAAAGTGGAGCGAGTGATGAAGATGGTGAAGAGGATGTCACCGAGGAAGAAGAGGAGAGAGGGAGGAGGAGGGAGAGGAGGAGGAGGACCGGGAGAGCTGGAGAGTCCGGACACCCTGTGTGATGAACTCTGTCGTTTCAGCCTCTGCATCAGCGGTGAGAGGCTGCAGCTCCACGTGTTTGTGTATCCGTGTGTGTGTGTGTGTGTGTTTGTGTGTGTGTGAAGTGTTGGTGAGTGACACTGTGCCAGACGGTGTGTGTGTCCCTACATTGTTTCTGACAGAGAAACACTGACGCTTTACAGGACATGCATTGCCTCCACTTGTGTTGTTAAGAGAAGGCGTTTGCATGGCTGGACTGTTTTATATGCTGCAGTCGGTTTGCTGTGTTTGTGCGTTTGTTCGGGGGCATGAGGAGGAAGAAGGAGTGCGTCTTTTTGATGCATGCACTTTTGAGTGAAGTCGTGTTGAACAAGTTTGCTGTAAGCTGGAGAGCACGCATCAGGTTTATCTATCAGGTTTTTATCAGGCAAGAGGGAACTGTTTTGGCAAAATTGCTTCTCGCAAGTGGGCCGCTTGCACTCGCGTGACTAACGACTCCACCTAAAGAATGGCAGCGGTGCTTAATTAGTCGGCCGTGTTAAGATAACTGGCATTGCTGGAAGCAGCGTGACAGTTTGTACTTCTGCAGAAAAGCGTGGCCGGATGTGTAAAGACTAACAGAGTGTTGCACGAAGAGGAAGAATCAGACTTGTTTAACCAATACAGTAGCTGTACCTCTAACTTAATTATGCATTTTTTAGTTACTTAAACATAGACAAGCAAACTATAAAAGGATAGATTTAAATATACCAGCGATAGACACTATATATAGCTCAGCAGAAGGTTCCATATTTTCTCAAGCAAAAGCGAAAGCACATCATGGAAATGTCAACTTCAGTGACAAACTCCAAGCATCCATCCTGACTCATGGACAATCTGTCACACCTTGAAAATGGAGCCCCTTCGCCCTCCGTTAGCCATCCCTGTGGCTACGGCGCAGGTCTCCAGAGACATGCTAGTCTGCAGCCACCTGGACATCTCATCACTGTGCTGCAGGTAAAGGCTGCAACCAGCAGGGTCCAGGAGTGATGCCCTCCTGGTGGCCTGATGCCTGTAGAGGTCTGGTGTCGGGTTCCTGTCGGGTCACATCTTGTGCAGATTAGACAGTAGGAAGCTTAATCTGAGCACCTCCGGGTTTAACTTGCCTTCTTTATTTAATAGATATGACAGTGAGGTCGTTCCTTCATCCTTGTTTGTTTGTGTCTTTGTGTGCAAATATATTTTTGGGTCACTAATTGCTGTCAACTGATAAACAAACGGAAGTGATTCTATTCAAATTGTGGTGGTTAAATTAAAAAGAAACCTTTTTTTTTTTTTTAAAGGCTGGTCTTGAATATAAATCAATAATTAGCAGTCTGGGCAGAAATAAAACATTTTATCACATATTTCAGCTGCATCACACATAATTGCAGTGAATTCGTGTAATCACATCATACCGACAAATAACTTTGTTTTTTAAAAACTTCTGCTTTCCTATAATTTGATGCATTAATGAATTAATATCCGTTCATGCATTCTGACGTAGACAAAGAAATCTAATGCAGCAAATTTAGGACATAATGTCACCCGTAGACTACTGAGTGTGTGTTTGATTTCTGGGTTTACATGTAAAATGTTCTCTTTCAGTTTCGGTGCAGCTGTGGACTGATCCGTCTGTGTTCCTTCATTTTCTGACTGTCGTGCAATTTCTGCTAAAATTAGTCACGCTGGCAGGACCCTTCAATATTAACTGAGCACCTTTTCAAGGCACACACATTTTCCTTCAACACCTCTGAACTGCATTTGAAAATGAAACTTGTCTTTTGTACGAAGCCGATCTAAAATGTAATTGCTAATGCAAATGCGTCGCATATTAAATTCTGCGGGGGAACCGAGGAAACCGGCACCGCTGAGACGCCCCAGACGTTTTCCTTCTGCAGGGACAGGAAAGTTTGGCTCTCGGTTTTTCTTTTTGTCTGTGACTCTGCTGGCTTGCCTGTTTCCCAGTGTTTGCTGCATTGCTGCTCAGTTGGCTTAATTATGTTGTTGGTGCTACCATTTAATTAGCTCTGAGCTGCTTCGTGTTGCTGCTACAGTTTGTTAGGTACCTCATGTTCTTCAAAGACTTTTGGAAAGTGTTTCACAGAGAGTTCCGTTTTTTTTTTTTTTTTTGTGGGTTTATTTTTTAACTTGCTTTGATCGTACACAATCGGCCCGGCGAGAAGAGACGGGGAGGGCGAGTGCGGTAGGAAACGTATAGAGGGTATACGGTGAATGTGTGAGGGAGGGAAGTGTGAGTGTGCCTTTTTTCCTCCCCCCCTCCTCCCTCCCATACATCCCTTCATCAAACAATCTTTCTAATCAGCAGAAACTGCAGCAGCCAGACTTCAAACAGCATCAAACAGCCATCAGAGAACCAAACATTACACTCCAGGCGGGGAAAGGTCACTTTGAAAACAAGAGGGAACTTTGGCATATCAAGGCAAACATCCCAACATCCGCCTCTGTTCCAGCCGAAACAAGATTTTTTTTATTTTTTCTCCTTTGTTTTGCATATTTTTTTTGTTTTTTTTGGATGCTTTTATCATCCAAAAGATTTTTCATTCCTGGTGTGAATGCAGATGTGTTTTGAGCAAAAAAAAAAAGATTGCTTCACAAATATCTCATAGTGATGTTTTTCCATCATCAGTGTGAATCATCTCACTTCTGATTTTTGTGGCATTGTGGGGAAAAAAAACAACAACAACAAGAAAAAAAAAAAGCTTCCAACCAGATTTTGAACATCTGCATTTTCCTTTAAGGCTTCTGGTTTGCTTTTAGACCCAAAATGTATCTCTGATCCACAGTCCGGTTGTTGTATTTAGCACTTCTTCTAATCTAGACTGGCTGGTCAACAACCAGAGAAACTGTGAAAATAGTGGCCTGGGAATAAGAGACATAAACAATGGTACTTGTGAACAGTAAAGAAGTGAAAACCAAGCGCTCCTTTTCCAGCACTGGTGACTGACGTTACAAGACATGGTAAATGGTAAATGGACTGCACTTATATAGCGCTTTTCTACCTTAGCGACACTCAAAGCGCTTAACAATGCATTTCTCATTCACCCATTCACACACACATTCATACACCAATGGCGACAGAGTACAAGGCCTGCCATTGGGAGCAACTTCGGGTTCAGTGTCTTGCCCAAGGACTCTTCGACTGGGGAGGGGCGGAGGATTGAACCACCAACCTTACGATCAGAGGACAACCCGCTCTAGCACCTGAGCCGCCCTTGTGTGCATTTCCCATTGGTTTTAAAGGATAACAACAGTGAGTCTCTGCTTGCATTTCGGGGTGTGTATACGTCACGGCATGTTGTTCACTGGGATGCTACGGCTAGATTTGTTTGGAGACTGCACTGCATTTATGTATGTGTTGTTGTGGGGAGAGTTTATAAGAAGCAGTGTGATTTTTGATGCTTGCACGTATGAGTAGACAATGGGTTAGGTTTTTGAAATCTGTCTCGATAACTTCCCCTGCCGTGTCCGTCGACCCAGCAGTTTGGGGTGGGAAGTTAAAGGAAATGCACTGGCCATTAGGGTCAGGGTTTAGGGTTAGGGTTCACATTCCACTTGTAGAACTGAGTCCAAAAACGCTGTGCACCAGTTTACACTGTATGTAAACTGGATTGGCTGGTTGCTAAACATTTGGAATACGCTGAGAAAACATGAACTTAAGGGTGTTCTTACAGGCTACGAAGTGGTTTAACACCACTGGCATCTCAGAGGTCCACAGGTGGTGACCTTTTTCATTGGCATTTTCGTCTTTAGAAGAGCTTTCACTTAATGCCTTCAACACTAAGTAACTTTGGCTTGAAACACCCTTTCAACACGAAGGGTCCTTAGTGAATGCTGCTAACAGTTAGCGCCAAATACGCTAGTGAATAGCAGCGTTAGCAGCAAAGACGACGGCAGTGAAACTCCATCGGCGCTTATTAAATATTTTCCCGTTACATACCATCGAAAACAACGTATCGGCCCAATTTGCAGGATCATTTTTTCAGGCAGCAGCGTAATGGGCCGTTATCCTGTTATGACGCTGGACAGAACCCTGTATGCAAATATTATTATTAATAATATTATTATTATTTGCATAATTTATTTCATGACTGAACCGCTTGTTCACATGCAGGGATTCCCACTGATGGACAATCAAAATGAATGTGACAGAAAGTCACCATATACCGGATCCCACTGTACCGGTCTGCAGGGTGGACGGGGTGAAAGCCGCAGACCGATGTAGCGGGCTGTAGTTTTGAAAGGGTTAAGAAACTAAGGTAATGTGTTTGACTGATATTATTTCACTTTCTTTGATTTTATTTAGTGACCTAAGTCTTGTTTTCTCTTGCTGTGCAGTTAAGCTTAGGCATAAAAAAAACGATTTACCAAACCATCACAGTTTGGGTTAAAATGTGCATGCAGCAAGACGGAAGCAAACTTCCTGTTGCCTGAAAAGAGTGACGACACCAGATGAGTGTCACTGATGTTTTCAAATTTATATTCATCTTTTAAATGATCCAGGCTGTTTAAAAAATGATGCTAAAAGGTGCCCTGTGTGTTCAAATTCGACATCAAGGGGATGTGACAAAGCAACAGTATGAGACCAGTTGAAGGTGACCCCAGACTCCAAATATCACTGGACGCCAATTTTGCAATAAAATGATGTATTATATGCTCCGCTTGCACCGCAGATGAGCCCGAACCAGCATCAGTCCATCTTGTGCAGTTAGATTTGAGTGCAGTTTATCAGTTCTATTACCTCCTAGAATGAATAACGGCAGCTTAAAAGCACCGTTGGTCGCTGTGGCTTCGCTGACGTCCCATAGAGATCTATTGTTTCAGAGGTTTGAAAAAAGATCCGCCTTTAATACCGCCACAGAGCGCTGGGCAATCTGTGGTGTAATCTGTCAGCCGACTGAAGTCCTCTGAATCAAAGAGTCCTTTGACAGAAAAATCCAATGTTCCTTGTTAACTATAGATCGTAGGGCACTCATCCTCCGCAGCTAAGTGCTGCAACTGACAGATGGCGATAGA